CCATGGACAACTCACTGTCTACTAGGACTCCTGATCTTCAGATAGTTTATTGCCAGGGGTTAGGACTGGGCTAGCCACTAAAGGCTGGCAGATGCTCTCTATCCCTCTTGCACCCCAAACGGGAGGGGGCAAAGGGAACAAGGCAGAGACTTACAAATTGGAAAAGAAAACTAAAACCAACTTTAATAAACAGTAATAGTACTAATAAGGAAATAATGAAAGTAATGAACTGATGTTGCAGAGCCGGAAATGCCAGGGAAGTCCCAGGCTCAGCAGCAGAGGGGGAACTGGTCACAGGAGCTGGATTTTGGGAACTCTAAATCAGGATCAAAGGCAGAAGAACAGATGGAGTCCTCCTTGTATGCTGGCCATTGAAGAAGAGGGAGAGCAAGAACAAAAAGCCTTTCTGCATCTCAGTCCCTGGCAGTAGCTGTAAATGTCAGCGTTATCACCTCTAGCGATACAGACACTGTTACAAAAACATGCTGTTAACATCAGAAAGTGAGGTCTCTCAGAAGAGGCTAGGCTGAAATGTAAAATCACTGAACAGAGAATTGGTTCTGTTCTAGCTCAAACCAGGACATTTGTGTACTAAGAGACTTAGAATTTCTCATTCATAAAATTCAATATGCTCAGAAGGACCCTCATCAAACTTTTAGCATCCTCTGTGTTCTGGGGCGCAGCAACTTCTTTTGTATCAAAAGCCATCACTGTGTATTTCTGAGGCATTTGCTGCTATCTTTGTCTGACACCCTTGTGCTCTTTGTTTAGAACAGTCAGCAATTGGTGCTTATCATTTGTATAGATCTTGGCTACTTCCAGGCTTGAGAGTCATAGTTCATGTAAGAGTTCTTTTTTTCTTGAAGCTGTCAAAAACTCTGATCATACTCATTAAACTTGTCTGAATGTTTTGCAGTTCTTAGTATGATTTGAAGATACAGGGACGTTCCTCTCAGAAGTCTGTTTATACTTGAGGTTTTCGGAGAAGCTTTTTTTGCTCATTTTGCCCGCCTGTGAAGGTGTGGCCTTGTATGGCACTGCCAGAAAAAAAGTCTAGGTAGTGGCATTTGGGGTTTAATTTCTACAGTGCGAGTAGACACTAGACAACACATCTCAGAGTTTGTATACCCTGGGCACCACACTTCAAAAGTTCACATGCAAGTGGTAACCCGTGTATATGTAATAAAAATGGGGAAAACCCCAATTGTCTTCAGGTTCCATATTCAAAACTAAGGCAAGAAAACCAGCAAACCTGAAGAATTTTGTTACAGTAAGCAAAGTATATATATAAATGTTACTCTTGACAAAATCTGACTATGCAGCTGGAAATTCTAAAGCTATAAAGAGGTAGACCATGAGAAGGGTAAGAAAATGTTTTCCCTTGCTTAGTCTTTACAAATCCTGACTCAGCTGCTAAATCCCCAGATATCATATTGAAAGTGAGTAAAGACACAGAATTGGGCTTCATATTTTTAAGCAGTAGGTTAAAGGCAAAGTATTTTAAACACTTTGAAATTATTACTGTGTTCAAACTTTATAAGTTCTCAGTGTTCTGAGATCCTTTATTGTGCTTAATTTATTTTTTTAAAACTTTTTTTTAGGCGTAATATTATTGAAGCTGTGTATAGTAGGCTGAATCCACACAGAGAGAATGAGGGGGTAAGTTTCCTTTTTGATTTGTACACCTCTTTGTTAATAAGAATCTTGAAGTAGTGTCATACATTAAGTAAAAATATACATCAATGTCAATAAAGTATTAAAACCACAAAATATGTATTGTAGCATACAGTTAATTTTGACATTGTTTTGGATGGATCTTAAATAACATCCTCAAAAAGACAGCAAACTGGCACCCAATTCTGAAAGACTTGTTAAAATTTAATTGACGGCTTTTTATTTAGTCAGACCTGTGAGGCAACAATGCAGGGTTTTTCTAAATTATAGTTTATTATTATAAAAAATTATGGTCATCGTATTCATTACTTAAGTAGCTATTATGTCTACTGTCCAGAAATCTAGTAGAAGAAGGGGCAAACAGCAAACATGCGTCCTCTTGTCCTTTAGAAGTGTGGAAGACCTTGGTATACTGAATTTAAAATACGAGACTAATATTTACTTTTTGTAGAGTTTATACTGTCTTCAAATATCCCATGTGCAATGGTGAAAGAAAGTGTGAAGTGGTTTTAGTTTACTTCAGTTTTGATTTCTAAAATGGCTTACAGTCTTCTGCCCAGTTCCTAATAAGTTGAATTTTAAATAGTATATTGAAACATGAATGAAATATTCATTATTAGTGGTTCTTAATATTACTATAAAGAATAATAACTGGTGTTCGTATCAGTTGCGTTAAATGTGTTAAAAAAAAAAAATTTGGAAAACTAAAGAACTGCTTGTACACATTATTTCCTGTACAGTTTATGTGAATTAAGCCATGAAGGTACCATTCGTCTAGTAAATACTTCATTGTATTTTTTGTCTTCTGAGAGTGCTACAAAATCCTCAGGTAGTCATTACAATGAATGGTGTTGAGGAGATGTCAACTTCTATTTTCAGTGCTTTGAAATGATCAGTAGCGTTCCTTGAGATTGTGAATATACAGTCTCACCACAATGGCTATTAGGATTTTCTCACTATCATCTTTTCTTACCTACCTATATTTGGTTTATTCTCTTAAATTAGAAAGCTTGTGTAGGTGGAAGGGGCTGTTATTCTGTTGGAGTACAAATAGGGATGAAATATCTAACTTTTTTATTTTTTAGGATTTGTACCTTTTTCTAGTTTGAAAGTGCTAGAGTATACATTTTTCATCTGACTTTGAGCAAGTTCTGCCACAGTACCCTGAAACAAGCTAGACAGAATTTTCCTTTTTCAGCTTCTTTAGTACTTCAGGAAACTGCACCTCTGTCAGCCTGCTACTTTACATTTTCAACCATAATTTTGTTTTGGGGTAAAGTTATTGGTGAAAGTGGTTTATTTGAAGATTACAACATAGGCTGTGTAAGTTGTTTTGTGGTTTGTTTGTTGTTTTTTTAAAGAAAGTTTGTCTAATAGTAACTTTCTAGAAATACCACATACCGTAGTTGCATTTATGATGTATCTTTTCTAAGTCCAAATTTTACTTTTCAGTAGCCATGCAAGCTAGCTGAAAGTCCTAGCATATTCCTTGTTGCATAGTCCTTGCTGAAAGTCCTGTACTACAGGATCCTTTTGTGTATTGACTGCTGCCATGAAATTATAATTTAGAATGAGGTCACTGAACCAAATACGCAAGTTAGTCCTAAAAGAATATAGCTTTAACCCTTATTACCATTAGTAGCTTTGACCTTTATTGCCTTTAGAGTCCCTGGATGGTTGTTTTGAGTCCTTTTAATATGGCTTCTTGAGTATGAAATGTGAGCAGTACACTCGAGTTATTGTAAACTTGGACTTCTGTTGGTATTTGGTGCAAATGTCCATAATGATTTGGGTGCTGTGTTTTAAATGCACTGGATTAAATTTTAGTTTGGTAGGACGAGATTTCCTGGTCAGTACCTTTTCTTCTTTCCATCCTAAATGATTCTGACCCAGAGTGACCTGGATGAAGGACACAATTCCTGTTTGCACTTTCCCAGCCAGTAGGAATTGCTCTCTTCTATCCTTAAAGTGAGTGAATCTAGTGGGCGTCATCTCTGAGGTGATGAAAACACAACCTGTTTGCTAGTCTTACTCAGTTCCAGGTACATATGTCGTGATCCCTTAGTCTTTTGACCAGAGTACTCTAGTGCACAGGGAGGCTGAAAGGGAAGGAAGCTGTTCAGTTACTCAAGGTCAGACTCTGCGCAATGTCTACATACTGTGGTAATGTTGCTACACTTAAACAGGAAGCAAAGGTCAGAGGGAAACGTGGAGTAGGTTGTAGTGATGGCATTTCCAAGTGAGACGGAAATCTAATAATGCTCCTCTTTAAACACGTGTAAAGGAAGAGCAGGTCTTCATACAAAAAAATTAGGAACCGCAGAGACAGATGCTCGGTCTGCAGAGCGTGAAGGGGCTCTGACTTGCACTTGGAAGCCTTTCCCCATGTGTAGTCAGCAGGGTACCTGTGTCTGCTGAAGGTGGGCGTGGTGCGGAATACTGCTGGTGCTAACTGGCAGGCCTGCCTGTGGCAGTCGTCTTCCTCTGACGTTTTTATGTAAGGCTAGAGCCGTTTTTTTTTAACTGAATAAAAAAATAATGGAATTAACTGCTAAATTATTAGTGCACGTGAATAAAATTTTTTTTAAAAGCAACACAACACAAACAAAACAAAACCAAAAATACCCAACCAGATTAACTTTTGCAATTGAGAACATGGCTTCCATTTAAAGAGTATACTTGTTAGCATTGCACAATTGAAACTAGTTGCCCTGAGTTACTGTGAACTGGATCATAATAGCTTTGCAGATAAGTTCAAAGAAAGTGTATGAACCAAAACCGAAGTCATATCCTTTTTCTAGATTAGCTTTGCTTTTGTGCAGCACTGTAAAGATTTCAGTTGATGTTGTGCTTAGGGTATTTTTGTCATTCAAGCTAGTGATTGTAGAGTAACCTCTTCTGATTCTTCACATGTGTATTTTCTAAGAATCCTTAGCATAGAGCCTAGATAAGGAGATGTGTAGAGTGAGAGACTGAGGAGTGTTCACACATCAGTAGTGTGGCTTCAGGGTATAGCAGTCATAAATTTTCTTTTAGGCATCTCAGCAGACTACAAGTATTTCAGAAATCCAGGGCTGGAAAGACCTCTGGATTGGGGTCATAGAGAACAACTTTGCCAGTGTTTGAGGAGAAGGACTTCTGCTATAAATGTGGCTTCTGCCTTTACAAGTGTGAGTGAAATCATAGCAATCTGTTATGTATTGGGACTTTCAGATCTTTAAAGGGAAATTTCAAAACTTTTTCATAGCTGAACAACTGTTACCACTCTAATGTTATAATACCACCAAGTCATTGTTCCAGTTAACACGCTAAAGTATTACTCTTTCTCCAATGGCTCTACTGCTTTGACCATTTATTTACTTTTTTTTAATATGCTCCTACAGCTAGGAGACTACTTGGGTGTATATGTATCCTTAAACACAAAGAACAGTGTTAAATTTACAGTAGCTATGTTAATGGTTTCTGGCATTTGTTTAAAGCTGTGTATATTTTTGAAACCAATCATATTTCTCTCTTGCTTTTACTAATACTATGGCACTTCACTAAATCAAATGTATGTCATTAAAGGCTGCTACAGATAATTTTTAAAATGTAAATGGACATAATTCTTACACCCCCAAACATTGTAAATTCTGTCCCTAATATGTAGCAGTCCTTTTTACATATAGAATTTAACAGAGCAGAACTTGTGTAGAAATTGTGAATGCTTGTGTTAACTATAGCTGGCACAATTATTCTTTTTGTGGTTAGTAGCACTAAGTTGAATTTTGAATTAGGTCATGAAGGGAGACAAATGCCAACTTGCACAATATTTATCGTTTGCGGCGGCCTGTTCTTGCCACACATTGTTAGAGGTCAGCGTTACGTAAGGTGTACGTATAGTGTGTAGTATATGCAAGAGCTAGTTTCTGTCCTACTGTTTTGGGGGTTTCTTGTCTGAGGGAGCACTGAGGGAGACAAGGGAAGCACAAAGAAGCCTGCCATCAGACAGGGTGCAAAGCAGGATATGAATTTGAATATCAAACACTAACAGCACTGTTACTTCGTCTCCTATCAGCATTTAAATTCTTTAGGAGTCTCAGGGCTGCAATTATGTTGCTTATGGATTTTACTCTTCAGTGTTGCATGGGAGCAAAAGTATTTTTGAAGATCTGAATATTGTGAAATGAGGAGGTTCAGGAGGGTATTTGTGAATGTGAACCTGAGGGCAAAAGTGGTGGGATGGAGGAATTACGGAATTTAGATGCTCTCTGAAGTTTAAAAAGCTGGAGTTCTTCAGCTGTGTTGCCTTATTTAATATTACCTAGATAATAAATAAATAGCGGGAGTTTTTTTGTCAAAACCTAAGAAACAGGATACATCTGTAGCCTCATCTTGATGCCCTAAGTTTTCACTTTGTGCTCATGAGGCACTACAACAGTCCTGCTTCGTAGATTAAAACTATCTGCTTTAACTTGCTTCTCATTGGACTCTTGAAGAGCTGTCTGAGTATGAAAAATGCTAGTACATGGGATTGCAAAGATGTCAAAGACCAGCAAACCACAGTGGAAAAATATGTCTCTATTTATGCAGCAAATTAAGCTTAGAGGGAAAGCGTTGTATGTGGAAACATTCATTTTTGGTGGTTAAATTGTTCACTTTTTAATTTAGACTGTGCTAATCAGTCTTGGGACTTCTATTCCAGCAATGTTACAGCATCCAAAAATCTTACTGAACCCAAGATACTGTTTTAATACTGCTGTTAAGCTTGTAAATGAATGACTGCAATACTTGTAGTTTATGAAGCTTTTGGACTAGATGACAATAAAATGAGGTCAGCATAAGAACGAGGCCGTCTACATTTTCCCTCTAATGTATTGCAAAATCTTCCAGCTTCTAGCGATACAATACCGTTTGTCTAGCTTAATAACTTGCTGGATATTAATTTAAAATGTACTATTCCCTTAAAGCAGCAGTACTGCTGTAGGACTTGAAAGTTAAGATACCTAATATCAGCATCAGAGCACTGTAATTACAGATGTGCAAGTCTTAAAAAGAAAAAAAAAAGAATCGAAACAAGCAAAAAAAAATCCCAATTTTTTCAACAGAAGGCTTGTAGCCAAGTAAGTGGTTTGTAAACTTTAATCAGTGCTCATTACTCGGATTTTGTGCTGCAGGTTGTTAGATTTGGCTTTAAATAACTGTTCTAGGCAATACGCACATCTGCCAAAAATAGCGTCTTCCATTGTTCAAACACCGCCACACGTGATGCTGATAGGTGGCCGCTTGTTTCTGTTACGGCAGCTTCGTGCACGCAAACATCAGGGCTTGCTTTCTGAAACACTCTGAGCAGTTATTTTAATATGATACTCAGCTGAACTGCTGGCAGCTCTTTTACTATGTTTTTCACAGAACTGAGTTGCTACAGGCTGTGCAGAAATTCACAGTTAAAAATACTGACCCTGATCACTAAAGAAGCTTAAATTTTCAATTTTATTTTTTTTTCGTGACAACTGATCAAAGTTGTGGGGAGTAGCAGCTATGTCCATCAAAAGACAGTTTGAATCAAGGTGGAGTTAATTGGGAGGAGGTACTATGTTGACACTGCCTGGCTCAAAGTATATTAAAATGTTTAAAAATGCAGTTTTAAGAGGTATCATTTCTTAAATTATTGTGTTGTATAAACAGACAAACACGGATCATATTGTTTTAAGATGTATGCTGCTAATAAGGTGGTTTATATTCATATAGAGCAAAGCTGATGTTTTCTCAAAATCTGGAATTTGGTTTGTTTTTTTTACTTGGATTTGGGGTTTTTTGTTTGTTTTGAGGGGGTTGGTTCGAGTTTTGTTTGTTTTGGTTTGTTTGGGTTTTTTTCGTTCATTTTGGGTTTGGTTGTGGTTTTTTTTTGGCTGTTGTTCTTTTATTGATGTCGTTAGAAAATATTCTAGTTTAACAACTGATCTTTTTGGGGTCTTGAATCTTAAAAAAAGGACCCTGGCGAAGCCGAGGAAAGTGGAACGCAGGGAAAATTGGTGGAAGCGCTCAGGCAAATGAGAATTAATCATAGGGGGAACTACCGCCACCTCCTGGAAGAGATGCTGACTAGTTACAGGCTAGCTATGCAGGGAGAAGAGTGCACTGCTGACTCAGCTGCAGCATCTACTTCAGGTACTCATGCCGGACCCAGTGACCCCGAGCCAGACACCCCCACAGAATCCGGGAATCACCTTGCTGAAATGCAGAGCTCAAACGAAGATTCAGGGATGAATGAGATGGGTGATAAAGAGACCTAATGTTTTTCCCAGCAGCTTTAACGCTTTGCTCCACGCAGCGTTTTTTCCTTCGTTTATATCTTGACATTTGTCACATCTGTCCTAGAAGTCTGGTTTTGTTTTAGTTATTTGTACGGATTGTTTATACAAAGCTCTTTTTTTCCTTAGAAGTTCAACTACTGTGTTACGTTATAGTAATTGCATCTAATGTTGTGTAGCAAGCAGTTAACTTCTTCCCATTTGAGATCTTGATTTTATTGTTTTATTTTTTTAAAATTCTGTGATACCAGCAACAGGAATCTAACATGCTAATGCAAAGACAAATCTTAAAACTTTTTTGGAAGTACATTCTTAAATAATAATTTTTATGGTATATGTTTGCTAATTGTAAAGTAATTCACATCTTTGTTGTATCTTTTGTGCAAATTAATTGAATTATACACATTCTCTCGTCTTTTTTTCCCCTCCTAGCATTATATACTGCATGTTTGTATTTGAATTGTGTATAGTTTATATTTCAACTAAATTACAAAAGCTGTCAAGTTTTAGGTTGTCACTTATTCTTCATGAAGTGTGTTTGATTTATTTTTCCCCCCAATTTAGATTGTATTCACTATTCATCATAAATATCCGTTTTCTAGATGACTGTATTTTTAATTCCGAGGTTGTAGCATAACATATATCCAGAAATGAAAATGTACTTAGATTTAGTACCTAGTGTCAAGTTCTAAGAATTTGTGTTCAAGTGAAAATAAAGAATATGCTGTTGGAAGAATATCTGTATGCATATTGACTCTTTTAAGCAAGTAATAAACTTCCTGTGAAATGCTATCATTCTGACATGCTTTGAAACTTTTCATAGCTTGTGATATTAACTCATGATGTTCATTAGTTTTGACAAATATTTGAGTGATTTTTGGGATTGGCACATTCGTCATAATCCTCTATTTGGGCAACATTTTTCAGGTTCAAGTTAAACATCATCTGTATAAGTGAATAAACCAACTATGCTACTTAGTTTACCTTCTACCAAATCTTTTCTGTGTCTTTTGTTATATGACATGCTGTATGTACATACCTTTGGGTAAATCAGTGGTAATACTGGGGACTTAGAGTGGTGGTAACTAATCTGGAATTCTTGTGTCAGTGGTCAGTTCATAATGCAACACGCATGCAAAAATATCATTGTTCAGAATAGATACAAATTTTACTGCTCTAAAGAAAAAGAGCCTGTGGGAATTTCTTGTGGACTGGGAATGCCTCAAGTGCTGAGTTTCTTAGTATTTTATAGACTTTTTTTTTTTTAAAAGTCCATAGATGGTGTATCTATTGGTAGCCATGATGTAGTACAATTTTAGATAATGCTTAGTTTTAAGTCTTTATGCTGTAATAGCTTTACTGGATTCATGTTTTACAAAAGTGGATTCCCTCATGGTGTTGAGGAACAGAGACTGTTTATGTATGGAAGTGGGCAGGTATGCGGGGAGGGGAGAAAAAGGAAAATGTTGTCTATCTTATGCTTAATTGTACCACTGAAACCCAAAGTACAACAAAATGTTTTCATTTGTATTGGTGAGTAGTAATATTTCTCCTCTTCTTTTCCTGTAGGATGCTGGAGATCTAGAAGATCCGTGGTAGCCTTACAAATCTACTAAAATGCTTTTGATTATGAAAGGGGGAAAAAAAACACTTTTAAATCTGTTTTCTTCAATACAAGGGAAAAATTCTGGTGGATTTCCAACATTTTGTGAAATGGGCAGAAAGATATTAGAATTTTCCATCATTTATTCATTTTTGTGTTCTCTGATATTGCCACTCTTAGCATTGCCTGTACTACAGTATTTTTATCAGCCTCAGGCATACTGATTACATCCGTAATGAACTTTGGCCCTAAAAAGGAAGGAAGGAATGATTCAGCAGATCGCTGTATGTACCTGAGGTGCGTGGGATTGTAAGCGTACTCTGAAGATACACTATGGCTAAATAAAATGTGCAACACACGAGCATGAGAGAGTACAAGTAATTGTTTGAGACATTACTTATTTCACTTTACCGAGTTGAAAGGCTTTGCAGCTTTGTGGCTTGGAAATAATTTCAATTGGGCAATATGCTATCAGATGTGTTTCGTTTTGGGATTTTTTATTTTTTATTTTTTTTTTAAATTTTCCAGTTTTACCTGTATTACCAGACCGTTAGGTTTCCCTGCGGTGTCCAAATTGTGATACGTTGCCTACTGCTTGCTTTGAAGATAAGTATATTTGGCAATAATATATGAAGATTCTAGGCATCTAAAATCAGTAAGAATTTTACGCATGTGTACAACACACCCTTAAACTCTTGCTAGAGGAAATCTTTTAAAACCAAACTGATGAATTTATAGTTAGTAGTGACTTGCTTTGACATCTCTCACAGCTGCAGGTTTTTTAAAAAATGCTGAAAATTTGCCTTTATTATAATGTAAATTGTTATTATTTTTTGTTCTATATGTGGTTTTCTATAGTTTTTTGATTTTTTCAGCTTAAGATACAGACAGAAGTCTTGTGTAATATGGGTATAATTTTTAATTGTTTGCATTATTTTCAAAGTTCAAATTATCACTTTGAGATTACTATAAATACACTTAAAATTATCTATTTTAAATTAAGAAAATATTAGAGATATTTTCATGGGTTCAATGACCTTTCATTTTATAAGCAATGGGCATGGTACAGAGTGGCTGTCATGTAAGGTACTTGAAGATTCTTAGTTTAATTCTATTTTTGCAATAACCTTGACTTTTTTTCTGACTTCTTTGAGTTGTGCATGTAATGAGTCCAGTAAATGCTGAAAATGGGGAAGAGTAAAGTATTTATCTAAAATAAAAGCTATTGGGGAGGGGAAACAATGAATGTATCCATCTGTACATGATTTACATGCTGTGGATGCCTTGTAAACATTTTCCTATTTGTTTAAACTGTGTTTCAGCGAGGATGTAATTGCCCTTGTGTGTAGTTTTAAGCTAATGACAGTCATCAACTGGTTTTGTGTGAAATGGAATTCATGGTATTTTTCTGTAACTTTATCCCCATGGTGAGTCTGTAAAAACCACACGCTCTCTTTCATACTGGTGCCGAAGGCCAACTTTCCCGATCATTTTGGTTCACTGTGTATCTGATTTTTTTTTTGGTCTAGAGAGGATTATTGCCACAGTATATTTTATTTATTCATTAGATTTTAGCCTTGTAAGTTAAAGTGTTCTAAATGATGATGTTAACAGGTATTTGTCCCTTTACTGGTTTTTTTGGGGTTGTTAAAAGATAGGGAATGAAGAATGCAAAATGGTTTATTGTTCAGACTGTCCGCTCTGGTCCAACCCTGTACTGATAGTACCTTCCCAGTATGATATTGTGATGTTTCATACAATACAGTGAACATAACCAACTTGTTATCTTCAATAAAGGATTGCTAAAACAGTATGATATGCTTTATATTTTCTTGAGAAGGATTTATCAAGAAGATGCAAGTGTTCTGTGTAAAATAAAAAATAAAAAAAAATAAAAAAAAGACAAAACCCAAATGGGACTGACAGGATATCTCTTGGAGATGGATTTAGTTTTATTCTATAGCGAATGTGGCTCCTTGTCACAATAAGCCGTAAGTCTCCAAAAGTGGGCTTCTCTGTGGAATGCAGAAGGAGCACAAACAGCATTTAGAGCTTCTAGACCAAAACTATCCTAAGTTCAGCTGGTATGAGTCTTATTCCAGCTATGGGAGAGCATGCCTTTGAAGTCTAAAAACTCAGATTAAACTTGACTTTCTAGATAACTAATTCCTTGCAGTTGCTTAAAGTTCTGAGGTTAGACCTCATAAAGTTTTACTTTTGCGTGTGGTGTTTTGGATAGAAATTTCTCTAATGTTAACACTCTTATGTTAAAACGTTTACTGATTTATTTATTTTTTTTAAAAAAAAACCAACATGATGGTGTTTTTTAGCTGGGTGAGGAGGACAAAATCATCTGTGTTACTGATGCTGCATGGCAGTAACCTGTTTGAATACTTACTGTTACTGTGGAGGGGGTGTATTTATGAACAACCTGTAGATTTTTGACTTTAAGTTCTGTTGGATCTGCTTGTACAGCATAACCCTTGCATGCTTTCCTCATGAACTGCAATTCTAATACCTTATTCCACTGGTAAGAGTTCTTGTACTCCATAGGCTCCACTCCTGTGAACACTTGTATGTGTATGGTTTTTTACGTCATGTGGATAGTCTCCCTGAAATAAAGTTTACAATTTTGTTGTATAGAAGTGAAGCGTGCCTGTAGGTTTTTCAAAAAGAAGAACTGTAGCTTGTACAGCTACAACAGTGTAAAGCAAGGCTTTCTTTTTTTTTTCCCCTCCCCTCTAAATTAGCACTACTTTCCATTCATGCATCCACGGTGTTCTGAATTCTAATCGTGGTTTTAGTTTAATCAAAGTACTGTTCAGATTTCATCAGCGTAAAAAAAACCAAACCAAACAACTATGATTGTTGACTTGGTATTCTTAGTATGAGAAGTCAGAATCCTTGATAAAATTTGTTCACGGATTTGCCATAAATTAGCAATTTTAACATTATGCTCTCTTACTTATATTGGCACCTGGTAACTAACAAAGATACTTCTGTAGAACACTGCGAGTGGGGAGTGCTTCTTCTACCTTAGGTCTTTTTGACGTGTCAAATTCAAATTGATTTTCTTCATTTTTATGACTTCTCCTTTAACAGAAACAAAGTAGCCTATGTCAGTTCTCAAATATTCTCTCTGATGATCTTGAGCAAAATCAAGATTTGTTTTAACTGATTCTCACAAACATGAATTACATTAGAATTAATTTAGAATTAAATAGTGAATGAAGAAATGGATGCGAATACAAGTGGTGTCGTTTTGACCTCAAGACACTCCTATGAGGTTAAGTACAATAAAAGTTTCCTTGTAATAGAGTGGATCGTCACGTGCTTATTTGAGCATACAGACGAACCTGTGCAGGACTTGGCTGAAGTA